GCACTGTGTCACAAGACTGTAACCTGCACTGAGTTACAAGACTGTAACCTGCACTGTGTCACAAGACTGTAACCTGCACTGTGTCACAAGACTGTAACCTGCACTGTGTTACAAGACTGTAACCTGCACCGTGTTACAAGACTGTAACATGCACTGTGTTACAAGACTGTAACCTGCACTGAGTCACAAGACTGTAACCTGCACTGAGTCACAAGACTGTAACCTGCACTGAGTCACAAGACTGTAACCTGCACTGAGTCACAAGACTATAACCTGCACCGTGTTACAAGACTGTAACATGCACCGTGTTACAAGACTGTAACCTGCACTGAGTCACAAGACTGTAACCTGCACTGAGTCACAAGACTGTAACCTGCACTGTGTTACAAGACTGTAACATGCACTGTGTTACAAGACTGTAACCTGCACTGTGTTACAAGACTGTAACCTGCACTGTGTCACAAGACTGTAACCTGCACTGTGTTACAAGACTGTAACCTGCACTGAGTTACAAGACTGTAACCTGCACTCTGTCAAAAGACTGTAACATGCACTGTGTCACAAGACTGTAACCTGCACTGTGTCACAAGACTGTAACCTGCACTGTGTTACAAGACTGTAACCTGCACTGTGTTACAAGACTGTAACCTGCACTGTGTTACAAGACTGTAACCTGCACTGAGTCACAAGACTGTAACCTGCACTGTGTTACAAGACTGTAACATGCACTGTGTTACAAGACTGTAACCTGCACTGTGTTACAAGACTGTAACATGCACTGTGTTACAAGACTGTAACCTGCACTGTGTTACAAGACTGTAACATGCACTGTGTCACAAGACTGTAACCTGCACCGTGTTACAAGACTGTAACATGCACTGTGTTACAAGACTGTAACCTGCACTGTGTCACAAGACTGTAACCTGCACTGTGTCACAAGACTGTAACCTGCACTGAGTTACAAGACTGTAACCTGCACTGTGTCACAAGACTGTAACCTGCACTGTGTCACAAGACTGTAACCTGCACTGTGTTACAAGACTGTAACCTGCACCGTGTTACAAGACTGTAACATGCACTGTGTTACAAGACTGTAACCTGCACTGAGTCACAAGACTGTAACCTGCACTGAGTCACAAGACTGTAACCTGCACTGAGTCACAAGACTGTAACCTGCACTGAGTCACAAGACTGTAACCTGCACCGTGTTACAAGACTGTAACATGCACTGTGTTACAAGACTGTAACCTGCACTGAGTCACAAGACTGTAACCTGCACTGAGTCACAAGACTGTAACCTGCACTGTGTTACAAGACTGTAACATGCACTGTGTTACAAGACTGTAACCTGCACTGTGTTACAAGACTGTAACCTGCACTGTGTCACAAGACTGTAACCTGCACTGTGTTACAAGACTGTAACCTGCACTGAGTTACAAGACTGTAACCTGCACTGAGTCACAAGACTGTAACCTGCACTGTGTCAAAAGACTGTAACATGCACTGTGTCACAAGACTGTAACCTGCACTGTGTCACAAGACTGTAACCTGCACTGTGTTACAAGACTGTAACCTGCACTGTGTTACAAGACTGTAACCTGCACTGTGTTACAAGACTGTAACCTGCACTGAGTCACAAGACTGTAACCTGCACTGTGTTACAAGACTGTAACATGCACTGTGTTACAAGACTGTAACCTGCACTGTGTTACAAGACTGTAACATGCACTGTGTCACAAGACTGTAACCTGCACTGTGTCACAAGACTGTAACCTGCACTGTGTCACAAGACTGTAACCTGCACTGTGTTACAAAACTGTAACCTGCACTGTGTCACAAGACTGTAACCTGCACTGTGTTACAAGACTGTAACATGCACTGTGTTACAAGACTGTAACCTGCACTGAGTCACAAGACTGTAACCTGCACTGTTACAAGACTGTAACCTGCACTGTGTCACAAGACTGTAACCTGCACTGTGTCACAAGACTGTAACCTGCACTGTGTCACAAGACTGTAACCTGCACTGAGTTACAAGACTGTAACCTGCACTGTGTCACAAGACTGTAACCTGCACTGTGTCACAAGACTGTAACCTGCACTGTGTCACAAGACTGTAACCTGCACTGAGTCACAAGACTGTAACCTGCACCGTGTTACAAGACTGTAACATGCACTGTGTTACAAGACTGTAACCTGCACTGTGTTACAAGACTGTAACCTGCACTGTGTTACAAGACTGTAACCTGCACTGAGTCACAAGACTGTAACCTGCACTGTGTTACAAGACTGTAACATGCACTGTGTTACAAGACTGTAACATGCACTGTGTTACAAGACTGTAACCTGCACTGTGTTACAAGACTGTAACCTGCACTGTGTTACAAGACTGTAACCTGCACTGTGTCACAAGACTGTAACCTGCACTGTGTTACAAGACTGTAACCTGCACTGTGTTACAAGACTGTAACCTGCACTGTGTCACAAGACTGTAACCTGCACTGTGTCACAAGACTGTAACCTGCACTGTGTCACAAGACTGTAACCTGCACTGAGTCACAAGACTGTAACCTGCACCGTGTTACAAGACTGTAACATGCACTGTGTTACAAGACTGTAACCTGCACTGTGTTACAAGACTGTAACCTGCACTGTGTCACAAGACTGTAACCTGCACTGTGTTACAAGACTGTAACCTGCACTGTGTCACAAGACTGTAACCTGCACTGTGTTACAAGACTGTAACCTGCACTGTGTCACAAGACTGTAACCTGCACTGTGTTACAAGACTGTAACCTGCACTGTGTCACAAGACTGTAACCTGCACTGTGTTACAAGACTGTAACATGCACTGTGTTACAAGACTGTAACCTGCACTGAGTCACAAGACTGTAACCTGCACTATGTTACAAGACTGTAACCTGCACTGTGTTACAAGACTGTAACATGCACTGTGTTACAAGACTGTAACCTGCACTGTGTCACAAGACTGTAACATGCACTGTGTCACAAGACTGTAACCTGCACTGTGTCACAAGACTGTAACCTGCACTGTGTCACAAGACTGTAACCTGCACTGTGTTACAAGACTGTAACCTGCACTGTGTCACAAGACTGTAACATGCACTGTGTTACAAGACTGTAACCTGCACTGTGTCACAAGACTGTAACCTGCACTGTGTTACAAGACTGTAACCTGCACTGTGTCACAAGACTGTAACCTGCACTGAGTCACAAGACTGTAACCTGCACTGTGTCACAAGACTGTAACCTGCACTGTGTTACAAGACTGTAACCTGCACTGTGTCACAAGACTGTAACCTGCACTGTGTTACAAGACTGTAACATGCACTGTGTTACAAGACTGTAACCTGCACTGAGTCACAAGACTGTAACCTGCACTGTGTTACAAGACTGTAACCTGCACTGTGTCACATTACATTAAATTACATGTTACTTGTTAGCGCTTTTATCCAAAGCGACTTACATACTCAGTACTGTGGGTAATCCCCACAGCAGCACTTTGGGGTGAAGTGTCTCAGGGACACAACGACATGCTGACTGCAGTGGGGTTTGAACCTGTGACCTTGTCACAAGACTGTAACCTGCACTCTCATCTGCACACGTATGTAAATATATTCAGAGATGGCAAAAGTACACACATCCTTTACTCAAGTAGAAGTACACATCCTTTACTCAAGTAGAAGTACACATCCTGTACAGTATGTACAGTACAGATACTCGTGTTTAAAAATACTCTGGTAAAAGTAGAAGTACGGACTACACTTCTTTCCTCAAGTAAAAGTAAAGAGGGCTTTGAAATGTACTTCAGTAAAAAGTACCCATAACTAGCAGCTGTTTTAAAGAGTACCTGACCTCCCTTTATATTAATAGAACAATAATGTCATTGTTAGCTAATGAATGTTTCCATGCTGAACAACGGCAACATGACAACGTTTTCATTGGTCCCTCTTCTTTAGAGAAGACCAGGAAATGATGGATACACGGATCGTGTTCAAATCAATAGGCACGCAATGACTCTAAATAATAATGATCACGCCACCAAACACACATTCAAACTAAAGGAACCAGCCTGTTTGGGAAATGTGAGAAGTAGAAAGTACAGGTATTTGGGTTCAACAAGTAAGAAGTAGAAAGTACAGGTATTTGTGTTCAACATGTAACAAGTAGAAAGTACAGGTATTTGTGTTCAACATGTAAGAAGTAGAAAGTACAGGTATTTGTGTTCAACATGTAAGAAGTAGAAAGTACAGGTATTTGTGTTCAACATGTAAGAAGTAGAAAGTACAGGTATTTGGGTTCAACATGTAAGAAGTAGAAAGTACAGGTATTTGTGTTCAACATGTAAGAAGTAGAAAGTACAGGTATTTGTGTTCAACATGTAAGAAGTAGAAAGTACAGGTATTTGTGTTCAACATGTAAGAAGTAGAAAGTACAGGTATTTGTGTTCAAAGTGTAAGAAGTAGAAAGTACAGGTATTTGTGTTCAACATGTAAGAAGTAGAAAGTACAGGTATTTGTGTTCAACATGTAAGAAGTAGAAAGTACAGGTATTTGTGTTCAACATGTAAGAAGTAGAAAGTACAGGTATTTGAGTTCAAAATGTAAGAAGTCAAAGTAAAAAGTCGTCAGAAAAATAAGTCGTGGAGTAAAGTACTGATACCAGAAACATGTACTTAAGTACAGTAAGGAAGTATTTGTACTCCACTACTTCCCACCTCTGAATATATTTAACATGTTCATACAAATGCACAACCTTTTACTGTGATATCTTGTTTTAATAGTTACGTTATCGCTTTATCTTTGCTGTATTATTATTTGTATTTGTATTCTATTTTGTCTTTATTTTGACCTCTGACCTGTTGCTGCTATCAACGCCTGCATTTCCCCACGGGGAGAAAGAAAGTTCCATCTTATCTTATCTTATATACTCTTCTGAATACATGTACTTTCTACTGAGTATATGTGTGTTACCCCTACCTGCTGTGTTGGAGGTGGGGGGGCCGTGGGGGGGGGCGTCACTCCGGGTCTCCGACAGGAAGTCATCGATGGAGGGACTGAGCAGAGGCCGACTCTCCTGCTGCATCTGCACACAAATACTCACTGTACTGTGAAATATACTCACTGTACTGCAATATATACTCACTGTACTGATGTACTGCAATATATACTCACTGTACTGCAAAATATATTCACTGTACTGCAATACATACTCACTGTACTGCAAAATATATTCACTGCACTGCAATATATATTCACTGTACTGCAATATATACTTATTGTACTGCAAAGAGAAGATGCAGGTTTGAATCAGGAAAACAGGAAGTGATTCCCACCAATCAACACCCTTTACTTCTTTCCACCATCATGTGACCAACACCTGCAGCGGTCTGAGGCCCAGTTCCAAACCGACCCCTACACCCTTCCCCCGTCTGTCATACAGAAGTGAACCCCTGCTGTCCCCTCATCACTGACTCACTGAGGGTCCCATCCCGTGAGAACAGCTAACGTGTGAACGAGATAACGTGTGAACGAGATTACGTGTGAACGAGATAACGTGTGAACGAGATTACGTGTGAACGAGATAACGTGTGAACGAGATAACGTGTGAACGAGATAACGTGTGAACGAGATAACGTGTGAACGAGATAACGTGTGAACGAGATAACGTGTGAACGAGATTACGTGTGAACGAGATAACGTGTGAACGAGATAACGTGTGAACGAGATTACGTGTGAACGAGATACGTGTGAACGAGATAACGTGTGAACGAGATAACGTGTGAACGAGATAACGTGTGAACGAGATAACGTGTGAACGAGATTACGTGTGAACGAGATTACGTGTGAACGAGATAACGTGTGAACGAGATAACGTGTGAACGAGATAACGTGTGAACGAGATTACGTGTGAACGAGATTACGTGTGAACGAGATAACGTGTGAACGAGATAACGTGTGAACGAGATTACGTGTGAACGAGATTACGTGTGAACGAGATAACGTGTGAACGAGATAACGTGTGAACGAGATAACGTGTGAACGAGATTACGTGTGAACGAGATAACGTGTGAACGAGATAACGTGTGAACGAGATTACGTGTGAACGAGATAACGTGTGAACGAGATAACGTGTGAACGAGATTACGTGTGAACGAGATAACGTGTGAACGAGATAACGTGTGAACGAGATAACGTGTGAACGAGATAACGTGTGAACGAGATAACGTGTGAACGAGATAACGTGTGAACGAGATTACGTGTGAACGAGATTACGTGTGAACGAGATAACGTGTGAACGAGATAACGTGTGAACGAGATTACGTGTGAACGAGATAACGTGTGAACGAGATAACGTGTGAACGAGATAACGTGTGAACGAGATTACGTGTGAACGAGATTACGTGTGAACGAGATAACGTGTTATTAAAAACCAGGCCGTTTATAAACAAGAGATTTTAAAACAAAAAGAGTTTTATTTCAGTAATCTTCTTCCTGTATGTTTCTGCACATCCCAGTGCGTGAGAGGCTGTTGCTGCAAGGCATTGTGGGAACGCAGGGCAAAGTGACGGTTCGATGTCGGAGTGAGTCCTAACCCTAATCCACATGTCACTGGAATATGTTGCTGTTTAACCCGGAGCACCAAACGAGACGTTCCAGAAGGGACAGACGTCAAAGCAGCAGGTCCTCACTGTCAGCTTTTACCTCATTACATATTATTATTTATTTCTATATATATAAATACATATATATATATTTCGTAAAATATTATTTATATTTGTATTTTGCTTTTTGCTTTAGGATTTGAGTGATTCTGTGAGGTGTGTTTCTTTGTTTTGAGTGCGCAGTTCTCCGGTGGGTTAGTGCTGCTTCTAGGGCTGTGCAATTAATCGTATTTTAATCGCAATTACGATTTTGGCCTGCCACAATTACGAAAACAACATAATCGTAAAAAACGATTATTTTGCTTTGCTAGGTTGTGACCGTGCAACATATTTGATCTAATTAATTTTGGTCTCATTTATTTGTATTTATCATATTTATATATGTTTAGTAGCTTGGGGAAGTGCGCTCCAAAATATATGTTGATCTTGTTTATTGGTATTTATTATTTTGATATTATTTATTTAAATGTATCATTTATTTTTGTATTGGTTTTTCAGTTGAATTCTACGTTCAGGGTAATCAACAGTTAAAAAGATACTGTTCAAATTATTATTTGTATTTGTTTTAAAGTTCAATAAATTGATTTTTTCAAAGTCAATGAATAATCGTATTTAATAATCGTGATATCAATTATTGACCCAAATAATCGTGATTATGATTTTTGCCATAATCGCACAGCCCTAGCAGCTTCATGTATTGAGTTTGTTGGACACGTCCAGTAGTTTACTCCACTGAGTGTTGGCAGGGAAGATAGTGGCCGACCCCTCCCACCCTGGACACAAACTGTTCGCCCCCCTCCCCTCTGACAGGAGGCTGCGCTCCATCAGGACCAGAACCTCTCGGCTAACACTTACCTCTGCCACAACGTAGTCTCTATGCGCATTACATTAATGCACACAATGTTCATACTCCTTACTGCACATATTCTTGTTTCATATTTCATAGTTTATATCCTATAATTCATTACAATCTATTTCACTGTAAATTACTGCTTTGTTTTATTGCTATTTAACTATATTTTATTACGGTGTCCTGATTTTTTGTTTTAAATGAGATTTCTTGTTTTATATTTGATGTCTGCTCCACGACATCAAGTCAAACTGCTGCATTTCTCCTGCGTTCTCTGCCGTCTCCACCGTCTGCTACGGCTGCTCCATTATGGCAACAATCATAATCTCCATTATTTGGGTCAATAATTGATATCACGATTATTAAAAAACGATTATTCATTTACTTTGAAAACATCCATTAATTGAAAAAAAAATGGAACAGTATGTTTTTAACAGTTGATTATCCTGAACTTTGAGTAGAATTCAACTGAAAAACCAAAAAATAAAAAATAAATAAAAAGAATAATCGTTTTATTTCGATGATGTTGTTTTCATAATCGTTGCAAGCCAACATCGTAATTGTGATTAAAATATGATTAATTGAGCAGCCCTACTGTCTGCACCACAGACCAGTGATACGTCATCAGAAGGAGCAGAGGAACTTCATCGCTCCTGTTCGATGGTCACAGCTGTTCAGAGGAAACTGTCTGATGTTTTCTGTCCCAGCTGTGTGTGTGTGTGTGTGTGTGTGTGTGTGTGTGTGTGTGTGTGTGTGTGTGTGTGTGTGTGTGTGTGTGTGTGTGTGTGTGTGTGTGTGTGTGTGTGTGTGTGCGTGCGTGGGTGCGTGCGTGGATGCTCTAAAAATAACCTGCTGTTATGCTGAGTACACACTCCTCCATCAGAGTCCCAGCAGAGAAACCAACACCGTCATCATCCTCACATCCGGCTGCTTGAGCAAGTATACAGTATATATTTATATATATATAAATACATATATCAGTGAAATCAAGAATCTATTGAATCAGTTCATCTACATCGACAGGCAGAGACGTGCAAAGTGTGTCCTACCATATCTATATCTATATGTATATATATATAAAAACTGTTTTACAATTTCTAATCATGCACATTTGTTTACCATTTCCATCCCCTCAAAGACATGTTATATTCAGTATAAAATACATATTATATATTCATTTTATACAGTTTGAACTGCTGGTGTAATTAACAATTCATCCAAATGTGATGCCGTGTGATGCGTTCATGTGCACTCAGTAAAACGGAGCGCTGGTGAAAACTGTGCCAAGGTTAGCGTGGTGCTGACGGAGGAATATTTCAGATATTTATATCCTCCCAGGATCCTGCAGCTCCACGGCTAATCAATATTTTATCACACACACACACACACACACACACACACACACACACACACACACACACACACACACACACACACACACACACACACACACACACACACACACACACACACACACACACACACACACACACACACACACACACAGCTGCTTCTCATTATGGATTAATCTGCAGATTATTTGATAGATTAATGGTTTGGTGTTTCAAAAGTCAGAGAACATTTGACATGTTGTTCGCAGTTTGTCAGATCACAGGGTGATGTGTTCAAAGGTCCAAAGATATTCACTTTAATATTAGTTTATTAAGAATATTATATTTATTACATCTCTGTACTACCAGCTGTCAACAGAAGTCAAAATAATACCAGGAAATTCAATTACATTTTAAAAACCCTGGTTGGGCTGCTTTAACTTAACGTTAGAGAAATGTCTTAGTTTCTAAAAAGTGACACTTTTTGAATATTATTATAGTTTTCTATGTGTTTTTAATGTTTGTTTTACTTTTATGTCTGCACCACGACACCAAGTCAAACTCCTCGTACATGTCAACCTACCTGGTGATAAACCTGGTTCTGGTTCTGATCAATATATCCTTTACGTCTTGTAAACATGTGTTGGTTCTGATCATTATATCCTGATACACTGACTGAACCCCAGCAGACATGTGGATGTGTTTCTAAGTTATATATGCTGAGCCTGCAGGACCAGGACCCTCTCCGTCCCACAGACAGCAGGACCAGGACCCTCTCCGTCCCACAGACAGCCAATCAGAGCCCAGTATTAATCAAGAAGCATTCAACACTAAGATAAACGCATATGACTCGACTCACCATGTACTAAGCGCTCCTCCGGAGACAGACAGAGGAGGACAGAAGCACCGGGTGCATGTCTCGGTGCTCCACCGCCAGCAGCGCACCTCAGCCCGGCTGCAGAGATCAGCTCTCTCCCATGGACGGCCGGGGGTCTCTCTCACGGTGCCTCACAGCCGGGGAATGAAGCCGATATCCGGACAGCCTCCGGACCGCAACACGCCGAAAATCCGCAGCTACACCGGTTCTGCTGTGGGCGAGGGGGAGGGGCGGATGGGAGGGGCGGGGCTAAAACACAGCCGAGGAGAGCCGAGTAAAGCCGAGAAGAGAGAGGAGGAGAGAGGGGAGGAGAGGAGAGAGAGGAGGAGAGAGCAGAGGTGAGAGGAGAGAGGAGAGGAGGAGTCATCCACCGGGGGAAAGCGTTGTTTATCCTTTCCTTAAATGTGAATGTTTCCTTTGTTTGAAAGTGTTTCTGAAACAAAGACACACCTTCACTTTCTGATCTTCTCATTTCTTTTCTTTTCTCCTCGTGCGGGATCCATAAAGAATCGACTCTGACCCAACGACTGATACAGACTGACGGACATTAAACAATAAACGCCCTGTTTTGAATAGTGAAATTAAATCATTCAAGTCATGTGATCAATCATTTAATGAGACATGAAATCCTGAAATGAGATTATTGACCTGAATGTGTTAGAGCTCTCTATTTCTCTCACACTGCCTGGGCTGCAGCTCCTCTTTTCACCCTCTGTCTGAAACCAGAGCTGCTCTGATTGGTTAGCTGGCCGAGCTGCTCTGATTGGTTAGCTGGCCGAGCTGCTCTGATTGGTTAGCTGGCCGAGCTGCTCTGATTGGTTAGCTGGCCGAGCTGCTCTGATTGGTTAGTTGGCCGAGCTGCTCTGATTGGTTAGTTGGCCGAGCTGCTCTGATTGGTTAGCTGGCCGAGCTGCTCTGATTGGTTAGTTGACCGAGCTGCTCTGATTGGTTTGCTGGCCGAGCTGCCCTTTCAGAGATAGTAGGCTCGTTTGAGACGAGCGAGACCAACGCAGACCTGCGCAATTGCGATCAACGTCTTGCTCGTGCGTTGCATGATGGTTAGTCATTTTGTCCGACTTGCTCTGGAGGCTCGCCTACATGAGACGTTGAAATCTCGCGGGACAAAGACGCCCGCAGACTTGAGAGCGAGGCGCGGCGAGGCGGCGCAGTCTCTCTCCACGGGCTGCGGAAGTGAAATGCTTGATGGGAAACGACTCGCTGGTATCTGGAGCTGAGCGCTCATTGGTGGGTTTTACCCCGTGCTGGAGATGAAGCTCTCCATTGGCTCGCTGGTATCTGGAGCTGAGCGCTCATTGGTGGGTTTTACCCCGTGCTGGAGATGAAGCTCTCCATTGGCTCGGCTAAAGTGTGTTGTTTTGTGTCAGTTTTACGTCGTCACTTCCAGTCACATTTTTCATCATTGTTCCACAATGTTTATCATCATGACATTAATATCTATATATTTTATACTATACTTGCACTGCTTACCGTTACTTTATATATCTTAGCATATTCATACACACTGTTCATACTGCTCACAGGCTGCTGTGTATATATAGTGTATTCATACACACTGTTCATACTGCTCACAGGCTGCTGTGTATATCTAGTGTATTCATACACACTGTTCATACTGCTCACAGGCTGCTGTGTATATCTAGTGTATTCATACACACTGTTCATACTGCTCACAGGCTGCTGTGTATATATAGTGTATTCATACACACTGTTCATACTGCTCACAGGCTGCTGTGTATATCTAGTGTATTTATACACACTGTTCATACTGCTCACAGGCTGCTGTGTATATCTAGTGTATTTATACACACTGCTCATACTGCTCACAGGCTGCTGTGTATATATAGTGTATTCATACACACTGCTCATACTGCTCACAGGCTGCTGTGTATATATAGTGTATTCATACACACTGTTCATACTGCTCACAGGCTGCTGTGTATATCTAGTGTATTTATACACACTGTTCATACTGCTCACAGGCTGCTGTGTATATCTAGTGTATTTATACACACTGCTCATACTGCTCACAGGCTGCTGTGTATATATAGTGTATTCATACACACTGTTCATACTGCTCACAGGCTGCTGTGTATATCTAGTGTATTTATACACACTGCTCATACTGCTCACAGGCTGCTGTGTATATCTAGTGTATTCATACCCCTCACTGTTTTTTCATCATTCAATTCATTCTATATTTTATTCTGTAGATTGTGTACATTACTTTTCTCTTCACTGCTTGTTGCACTCCTGGTTAGAAGCTAAACTGCATTTCGTTGTCTCCTGTAATCTGTGCAATAACAATAAAGTTGAATCTAATCTTGAGCAGGAACAAATGTATTTACTTAGTACATATCTGACAATAACGATTAAACACATGTGTGCATTCTTTAGAAGAGAGAAACTTGCTCTGGCATAGGCCTACTGGGTCAGGCTACAAGGAAGTGGAGAGGAAAAGATCACAAACAGAATACTACATTGCTGGGAATATACAAAGTTCCAGGGGCGTGGGTTTGGCTGGACGAGTAAGGAGAGAACGAGGGCATATGGAGTGGAGACCATCACGTTTGCCAAAGCAAGCCCATTTAGCCGTGTTCCCCCATGGCTTTCCCCAGAAGCTAACATAGATGTGAGTTTCATAGAAAAGAACAAAGAGTGGCAAATAAATGTAGTGGGAATTAAAACGAGTATGTACCTGAACGAAAAGTATTACAATGACCTAAAAATGTACACAGATGGATCTAAGAAGCAAGAATGTGTGGGGATAGGCGTGTATATACCAGAATTCAAAATATCAATCTCAAAACGAGTGTCACATAACTTATCAGTTTATACAGCATAAATACTCACAGCAGTTATTGGGCTACAATAGGCTGAAGAGGTCAGACCTGATAGGGTGGTGATATGCACAGACTCACTTGAAGAGGTCAGACCTGATAGGGTGGTGATATGCACAGACTCACTTGAAGAGGTCAGACCTGATAGGGTGGTGATATGCACAGACTCACTTGAAGAGGTCAGACCTGATAGGGTGGTGATATGCACAGACTCACTTGAAGAGGTCAGACCTGATAGGGTGGTGATATGCAGACTCACTTGAAGAGGTCAGACCTGATAGGGTGGTGATATGCACAGACTCACTTGAAGAGGTCAGACCTGATAGGGTGGTGATATGCAGACTCACTTGAAGAGGTCAGACCTGATAGGGTGGTGATATGCAGACTCACTTGAAGAGGTCAGACCTGATAGGGTGGTGATATGCACAGACTCACTTGAAGAGGTCAGACCTGATAGGGTGGTGATATGCACAGACTCACTTGAAGAGGTCAGACCTGATAGGGTGGTGATATGCACAGACTCACTTGAAGAGGTCAGACCTGATAGGGTGGTGATATGCACAGACTCACTTGAAGAGGTCAGACCTGATAGGGTGGTGATATGCACAGACTCACTTGAAGAGGTCAGACCTGATAGGGTGGTGATATGCAGACTCACTTGAAGAGGTCAGACCTGATAGGGTGGTGATATGCACAGACTCACTTGAAGAGGTCAGACCTGATAGGGTGGTGATATGCAGACTCACTTGAAGAGGTCAGACCTGATAGGGTGGTGATATGCACAGACTCACTTGAAGAGGTCAGACCTGATAGGGTGGTGATATGCAGACTCACTATCTGCTTTGGAAAGCATACAGTCCACAATAACTGTTAGAGACGATTTCATTATTGAACTTAACCACTGCTTATTGAGACTTCAGAGGAGGGGAATAGATGTGCAGTTATGCTGGGTGCCTGCACATGAGGGGGTTCAAGGGAATGAGCATGCTGATAAATTAGGAAAAGATGCGTTACAGAAGGAAATAGCAATACCAGTTTCACTTGGGAAAGGAGAAGGAAAAGCAATAATTAAGAAGAAGGTATGGAAATATGGCAGAAAAGGTGGGAGGAAGATCAGAAAGGGAGGAGATAGCACAAGTTACAGAAATCAGTCATCACAAAGATCTATACAGAAAGGAACAGACGGGAGGAGATCACCATCACTAGACTCAGACTGGATCATACAGGATTAAACGGCACAATGTGTATAATGGGAAAAAGCGAAGTTGAAGAATGCAGGGGGTGTGGAGTGAAAGAAAATGTGGAACACATCGTATTACACTGCAACATGTAGAAAACAGAGAGGGAACAACTAAGAGACAGGAGTAGTTATACAAATCCTGTTTCAATCACATTAGTATGCATAAAAAGTGACAGGTGCTGTGACAGGTCACACCTACTACTACTTATGCAAATGAGCCCCTTTGATATGCTAATGAGCCCCTTTGTTCGAGGTGTTATCACGCGTAGGTGTGATATCACAGATAGGTGTGATATCATTTGATGTGAGGGGTGAGGTGTTGTAACATGTAGGTGTCATATTCCCCCTTGTAGTAGATCCTTTGTTGTCTGATCTAATTAGCCTTTGATGTCTGCCCTTTGTTGTCTAATCTAATTAGCCCTTTGATGTCAGTCCTTTGATGTAAGGGGGGTGAGGTGTTGTAACATGTAGGTGTGATATTCCCCCTTGTAGTAGATCCTTTGTTGTCTGATCTAATTAGCCTTTGATGTCTGCCCTTTGTTGTCTAATCTAATTAGCCCTTTGATGTCAGTCCTTTGATGTAAGGGGGGGTGAGGTGTTGTAACATGTAGGTGTGATATTCCCCCTTGTAGTAGATCCTTTGTTGTCTGATCTAATTAGCCTTTGATGTCTGCCCTTTGTTGTCTAATCTAATTAGCCCTTTGATGTCAGTCCTTTGATGTAAGGGGGGTGAGGTGTTATAACATGTAGGTGTGATATCACACCGGCGTGTTATAAGCCTTTGATGTCAATCTAATTACCCCTTGATGTCAATCTAATTAGCCCTTTGATGTATGTCCTTTGATCAGTGTTTGTAACTAGTATTAAGGCAGTCTCTTTGAAGTTGTGTGAGACTGTCTCGCACCCCGTCCTCCTCCCACCCCGCCCCCCTTCCTTTTGCTGTGATGTCAGAAGATAGTGAGGGGTGGAATTAGGTAAAAAAGAAATCCGTGCAAACTATATAAAAAGCCAGTCATTTCCACTCACCAAGTCACCTAAACTTTCAAAAACGAAAATGGCATCGATATGGGTTTAATCAGCGAGACGCCTGTGACAACTTACCGCCATCCGTCGGGAG